AAGAGTGACTGTAAGTTCGGCATAGCCGGTAGTCAGAACGTGCTGATTATGGACCCCAGTTCTACAGGAACGATGCAGCGGATACAGAGTGAGAAAAGCATCCTGGATGAACCAGACTCTCCTCTGGAGGTGAGTTAAACATTTTAGCTGCGTTTGTTTACCCCGATGTCCTTTTATTGTATTTAGTTGCATTAATACAAACCGCTGCACGTAATTCTGTCACTTTCAGCACCATGGACAGCATCTTTGTTGGCGTTTCATTATTTAAATGCTGCTTTTTGGTTAAGTTGTCATAAATACAGCTTTGGAAAGCATTGACTGACTGTCTTTCGTAACTATACTGCCTTAATGCGTTTTAGGCAAGATAATACTTCATTATTAATGTTCAAAAGTCATGTGTCTGCCAAACGTTTATTGTCACAGTTCTGATTGTGTTCTTTATACGGTATTTCCTCTTGGCAAGGAAGGATGCTGTTAGTATGGTTATTGTGAGGCATGAAGGCAATAGGAAAGGTTGAAGGATACAGTCTCAGTAAATTGATTGGAATATCAATGCTGAACAATGCAGAACCTGGATGCCCCACATTCTTTCGTTCCAGCATATTAAAGTGACTAGCCATCTTTCTGCATGTTTTCCTGATGACGGCTGATAATGCTGTTTAACATTTTCTAATACAGGATTGTTGGGCATCAGTGTATTTTAGTGGAGAGTCCTTAACTTCCGCATCAGTCTTGATAAAACTTGACAAACCGTTGAATCAGGGACTCTTATATGGTTTTAGGGGTTTCCATTAAAGATAATACATTTATTAATTCCATTTTCAATATTTTTTTCCTGTATGACTGAGTGCGCTGTAGTCGAATTATTTCAGAATCAGATTTCATGTCCAAATATGTTTTGACAAGTGCTTTGTGTTTTGATTTCAAACAGAATCTGACATAATACATTATGTTGAGCTGAATGTGTTTTAAGTTACAAATACTATATGTAAAGACATTCCAGTGTGATTTCCACATTAGGTAGAGATTTGTTCAGTTTGTGTGCTTCAGAGCTCAGCGGTATGTCGTATGTGATGTTCAGCTTTTAGACTCTAAGGGACGCTGTTGGTCAGTGAAATATTTTCTATGTTGTGTCGTCATTCAATCCATTCTCCAACTGACTATACAGTGAAGAAGGCTCTCTGTGTTCTGTCGAGGTTTAGGGCACATACGAGAGAACATGGTCTCACAGACTTGCATGTAAAGGTTGAGTACGTGTTCAGTTGTTCCGGATATCAGAACCAGCTTCACCGTCATATCAATCGGATACAGATTTTCTTTTTGTAATTCTTTGTTGCCACGATGGTAACTGGGGGACCTCTCACATGCGCAAGATGGCGATTGTTTTATGGATTACGACGTCAAATAGGACTGCTCATGTTGCTGTTTCATGCGGTTAACATGGTAGGTGGTCAGATTCGTTATTCTATACCAGAGGAGATGAAGAAAGGCTCTGTGATTGGTAATGTAGCGCAAGATCTTGGTTTGGATCTGAAGAGAATCCGTTCTGGGCGGGCCCGTATCGTGACCGGAGAAAACATTCACTACACCGAGCTGAAGACAGACAAAGGGATTCTAGTCGTGAATGACAGAATAGACCGGGAGCAGCTTTGCGGAGACGAAACTCCGTGTAGCTTCAGCTTTGAGGTGATTTTAGAAAACCCAATGGAACTTCACAGAATAACTGTTGAGGTTTTAGACATAAATGATCACGCTCCCGTCTTCCCAAATAAAGATAAGCCTATCAGCCTTGAAATCGGTGAATCAGCTGCAGTTGGAGTGCAGTTTCCACTGCAGAGTGCAGAGGATCTAGATGTGGGGCAAAACGCGTTGCAAGATTATGTTTTGTCGCCAAACGAAAATTTTATATTGAAACAACATGCAAATCCAGATGGAAGTAAATATGTTGAAATGGTGCTCCAGAAGCCTTTAGACAGAGAGCGACATCCTCATCTGTCTTTAAAACTGATCGCAGTTGACGGAGGAACACCACAGAGATCAGGTACAGTAAATATAGACGTCACTGTGTTAGATTCCAACGACAATGTTCCGGTATTTAACCAATCGGTGTATAAAGCATCTGTGATGGAAAACACAATGAAAGGCACGAGTGTTATTACTGTAAATGCCACGGACGCCGACAGTGGCTTAAATGGAGTCATTACATACAGTTTGTCTAAGACGAAAGGAAATGCAGGGAATGTATTCAATATTGATGAAAACACAGGCACAGTTTCTGTTTCTGGTCAGATAGATTATGAAAAAGACAAAAAATACGAGGTCAGAGTTGAGGCAAAGGATCAGGGTGGCCTAACCGGGACGAGTAAAATTACAATAGATGTTTTTGATGTCAACGACAATGCCCCAGTTATAAACATTATGTCATTTTCTAGCCCCGTATCTGAGGATGCCCCTCCTGGTACAACAATTGCTATAATGAACATAAAAGATGCAGATTCTGAGAGCAATGGACAAATAAAATGTTCTATAGATGGCAAACTTCCATTTAAGATCGAATCATCGCTAACAAACTATTACAATTTAATCACAGATCAACATTTTGATAGAGAATCCGTCTCAGAATATAATATAACAATAACAGCCACTGATTTGGGGTCTCCTCAACTTTCTAGCTCAACAAAGTTACATCTTAAAATATCTGACGTAAACGACAACGCACCTTTATTTAATAAAAACAGCTATTCTGCTTACATCACAGAGAATAATTCCCCTGGAATTTCCATCTTTGCTGTAAGCGCGCGAGACTCTGATTGGAATCAAAACGCTAGAATCTCGTATCTTTTAGAGGACACACAAGTCGGCGGTAGTCCAGTCTCTACATATGTGTCTTTAAACTCTGAAACTGGAGTTCTTAGCGCGGTTCGTTCTTTTGATTATGAGCAAATTAAACAACTTAAGCTAGTAGTCAAAGCGCAGGATGGAGGCTCCCCTCCACTCAGTAGCAACGTGACTGTGAAAGTAATGATCCAGGACCAGAACGACAACCCTCCCCA